TAATTGTCAATCTGAGTCATAAGGATACTGAGGCTTTTCTGCAAGATGCGAAATTGCTTGCAGTCACTCACTCCCAGGATGCTCTAAGGAAACAAGGGAATATCAAGGCCAATGGTGTCCTTGTCTGCACGTTCCAAGTTCATAAGAATGGTGAACAGATTGAGGCAACAAAATACTTCAATACCAGGAATGAGATCATTCTGTCCACCACCAACACTGGGGAATGGTTCGATCACAATATCATGGAACGAGTGCTTGCTAAAGTTGAGGATTTCCAGGAGAAGGACTCAGGAATGGAGCTCACTAAACTCAACAATCTTTCTATTAACATCAACAAATATGTGCCACTGACAGTAGGATTGAGTACATTCATTCCATTGCCCAAACTCATACAAGTTAAGAAACCAGTGGTGAACATCAAAAATAATGACGTACACTGTTTCCGATGGTCAGTCACTGCAGCATTCTATCCTGCTATCAACAATACTGATCGTTTAACCTCATACCCTCATTACTCATTCACAACGCTACCAGATGGAGTAACAAAGCTCAACTACACCGGTCTGCAATTTCCGATGCAGCTGAAAAATATCCCGAAATTCGAGCTCATGAATGGATTATTAATTAATCTTTACGGTATTGATTGTGACAAAGACATTGTACCGTTGTATTTAAGTAAAATTAAATCTATCTGGCCCACGATTAATCTTTTACTGCTGTGTGACAATGTGCAATTGGAGAGCGATCAGCAAGCCATCTATCACTTTGCTTGGATTCGCCACTTATCCCGATTGGTCAAATCCCAACTTTCAAGAAAGAAAGCAGCAATGTTCTTTTGTGATCGTTGCCTTGCACATTTTGTCATAGTAACATCATTTAAGAATCATGAGAGAGATTGTCTGGCAATCAACAAATGTAGGATGGTGCTTCCCGAGGAGGGCAAAAATATTTTGACTTTCAGGAATTATTGATTCAAGGAGATGGTTCCATTTGTGATCTATGCCGATCTCGAGTGCATTTTGGAGCCTAGAGAGTCGGACTCGCTCTACCGAAAGCATGAACCACACAGTGCCGCGTTCTATTTGCACTGCGCCTTCGACGAAAACCTCTCGCCATACAAGATGAAACATGGACCAGATTCCATCGAATGGTTCATAGATGAGCTGCAGATAGTAGCGCGTGAAGTCAATGTGCGCTTGAGCACAAATGTATCGATGGAGCCACTCAGCCTCGAATAGACTCAGGATTTCATTAATGTCGAAACTTGTCATATTTGCGAGAAATCTTTTGCTCCAACTGACACGAAACACCACGATCACTGCCACTTCACGGGAAAGTATCGTGGTCCAGTTCACCCAGGATATAATGTCAACTATAAGAACTCTCACCCCATCCCCGTTGTATTCCATAATTTCTCAGGCTACGACTCTCATTTCCTGATCAATGTTCTTGCCACACAATTCCCCTGCTCAGTTGATCTCCTGCCCATCAACAAGGAGAAGTACATCTCATTTATGAAACATGTTGATGGTACTGCAGTTAAATTCCGCTTCCTCAATTCCTATGGATTCGTGGCAAGTAGCTTAGAAAAATTGACCTCCTACCTCACCGATCATAACAAATCAATTACCCTGAAGTATTCCAATAACAACCCTGAGAAATTCCATCTCTTGACGAGGAAGGGAGTTTTTCCCTACGAGTACGTGGACCCAAAACTCGAGGAGACCCAATTGCCCCCCATCGAGCAGTTCTACTCCAAATTGAATGATGAGAGTGTTTCGCCTGAGGATTATGCACATGCGCAGAGAGTCTGGGATGTTTTTGGCATTAGATCCTTGGCTGAGTATTCCGACTTATATTTGGTGACAGACGTCGTGCTTTTGGCTGACATCTTTCAAAATTTCAGACACACTTGCTTCTCCGTGTATAAACTCGATCCCCTCTACTACTATACTGCACCGGGGTTAGCGTTGGACGCTATGCTGAAATGCACTGGTGTCAACCTCGAACTTCTGACGGATATTGAGATGCATTTGTTCATTGAAAGGGGAATTCGAGGTGGTATGGCTCAGTGCTCCAATCGCTACGCTTGTGCCAGCAACGAGTACATGGGTGAGAAATTTGACCCAAGCAAGGAGATCTCGTATCTGATGTACTTCGATGTGAATAATTTGTATGGGGCAGCCATGTCGCAGTACTTACCCTCCGGATCCTTCCAATGGATTGGTCCCTCAATCATTGATGTGCACAGAGTGTCAGATGACTCGAGCAAAGGGTATATCCTTGAAGTGGACTTGCAGTATCTCAAGGAACTGCACGAGACTCACAAGGATCTACCATTTTGTCCCGAGCACTTTGCTCCCCCAAATAAAAAAATCTCCAAACTCATGACGACATTGCTCCCTAAAAAGAATTATGTGATTCACTACAAGAATCTCACGCAGTGCTTGAGCTTGAGACTGAAATTAATCAAAATTCACCGAGTACTGGAGTTTGATCCGGCGCCATGGTTGACACCCTACATTGACCTCAACACAGAATTGAGAAAGGAGTCGCACAATGAGTTTGAAAAGAATTTCTTCAAACTCACGAACAATGCAGTGTTCGGGAAAACCATTGAAATTTTGAGGAAGCAGAGGGATGTGAAGTTGGTGACTAAATGGGAGGGTAAATATGGAGCTAAAGTCCTCATTGCCCAGCACAACTTCCACAGCTGCACCATTTTCAGTGATAATTTGATGATCATTAACACCAAAATGGATCGCACCAAAATGTTCTTCAACAAGCCCATTTACACTGGTTTCTCAATTCTCAACCTATCCAAAACGGTCATCTATGACTTCCATTATAAGTATGTTAAGCAAGTGTTTGGAGATAGTGCTAAGCTCATGTACACCGACACAGACAGTCTCTTCTATGAGTTCAGAGTGCCCGACATTTATGAGTGTATGAAACGTAACATTGCCAAATTCGACACATCAGACTATCCGAAAGACAATGTGTATGCAATGCCACTTGTGAATAAGAAAGTATTGGGACTTATGAAGGATGAGTGCAATGGAAAAGTTATAAGTGAATTTGTGGATTTCCGAGCGAAATTGTACACATTCAAGATTCATGGTGAGGAGAGAGCAAAAAAGCGTGCCAAGGGAGTGAGAAGCTCCACCTTAAAGAGAATCACTTTCGCAGATTACAAAGACTGTCTGATAAATCATGAGACTCTGGTAAAATCGCAGTATTTAATTAAGAGCAATAAGCACACTGTACATACTGTACACCAGAAGAAATTAGCGTTAAGTTGGGATGATAACAAGAGAATTCTGTGTATAAACTCCACTGACACTGTTCCCTACGGCTATTGTAAAGAAAAAAGAATACATTACACCAGAAAAAAATACTGTACACCAGAAGAAATTAGCGTTAAGTTGGGATGATGACAAGAGAATTCTGTGTACAAACTCCACTGACACTGTTCCCTACGGCTATTGTAAAGAAAAAAAAATACATTTTCAAAAAAATATTTTCTGTTTATTGTTCATGGGAGTAGATGGATTACATTTCATTATTATTGATCCAAATATTGTGGGAATCATCGAAGCCCAACCATTTTACCAAAACTTTATTTCCACGTCGTTGAAGTATCTTCTCCACCAGGTAGATGTCGGGATACTTGACTTTCGTCAACTCCTCGTGAAAATCTCCGTCGTCCAGTTGGGTATATAGCCTTTCTCAAAGACATTTTTATACTTGCTGACACGCACCTTGTCTCCAACCTTGAATTTGATTTTTTTCATGGGTCTAATTTTCACTTTTCCGTAGACATCTTGCAAGAGATGTTTCTCCTCATCAGCAGTGACATCTTTCGGCTTCATGCGAATAGCGCGATGCTTCGTGTTATTATAAGACTCAACCAGGGTCTTGACAATGGGAATCCACTTGTAGGTTCCTTGGAGGCTGAACTGCTTCCACATTTTTTCCTTCAAGGTACGATTAAATCGCTCGCAAATGGATGCTTTGAGATTACTGAAGGTGGAGTACATATTAATCCCATAACTCTTCATAAAACTCTGGAATCCCCTATTGTAGAACTCTCTGCCCCTGTCCACATGCAAATTTTGTGGTATACGACCCTGTTTGAGGACAGACTCCATAGCACTGCTCACATGTTTGCCATTTTTTATTTTAATTGGCACAGCCCAGGCGAACTTTGAGAATGTATCGATGACTGTCAGAAGATACTTGTAACCTTCATTTTCATGAGCGTACGGAGTCATGTCCACCAGATCTGCCTGCCAAGTCTCATCCAGGCCACGCACATCAACACAACGACGTGGGTAATGCCTTCGAGCCGGTCTATGCAGTTCCTCTACCACGGTCGCCTTTTTGCTGTTCATTTTCCAGCGCAATTAGATGACTATCTAAGTTATAAATAATTTCAGCAATGCGGAGAGCCAAATCATCATTGATATTCTTTTGAATATCCTTGAATTCACTTGTTATCACTTCATGGAGACTCTCGAGTACAGATTTGATCTCAGGCGTGGTGATTTGGGACAATGTTGTCAGCTTGCCGTCCACTCGAGTAATGAGCTCAGAATTATGATCCAGACTTTCTTGTACCTCTTCTTTACCAATGCTGTGCTCGCGCATAACTGCGCTGATGTTTTTTTCGAATGATTGGAACATGACTTGGACCTCGTCGATCTTGATGCTCAGAGCACCAGTGACATTATATAAGAGGCGAAACTCCTCCCTCAGAATATTGCGTATTATTTTTACAGATACAGCATCATTATCCTCCACAGCGTCACCCAAATTACGCAGTCTACGATGATTCATATCATATTGCCCATCCGGAGTAATAATAAATCCCTCACCAGAAGGTCCACGCGGGCCTACAGCGCTCTCAGCACTGTCCAACGGACGTCCGAACACATCAACATTCATTTTGTAAATGATTAATTGAACATAGAGACAGCTCAAAATAATACCAGCTTCTACTAAATAATACCAGCTTCACGTAATTTCTCCATTATTGACAGGATTTCATTGGTGTGGCTTGTGTTGTCAGCCTCTTGATACGCCATAAGCAATCGAAGTCTGTCGACTAGCTCATTAGGATGGTCCCAGTAGACGTAATCCATTTTCCTCGGTATGATAGAGGCGATCATGTGGTGTGGCAGAGCTGTTCCAGTTTTCTTGGACAAGAGCAAATTTTTTATGATAGTTTGATAGTTCAGGGAATTACTTGTTCGGAGGGATTTGTTCTCTTGGTAGTACAATCGATGCGCATTGGTTGTCAGTATAATGTGTCCATAAGTATCTTTATCGCTTTCTGTGACCAGGCTCATATTGGGCGATCGTTTAAAGATCAATTCAATTAAACCAGGAGTCCGTATATAATTCTCATTCCTCAAGGTCATGAGATTCCCATTGAAAGTCACATTGAAGTAGCCAATCTTCATGCCAATCTGTAGTTTACGTACGCCGAACTCTGTATCCAAATCGACTTCACGTTCCGTACTAAATCGAGCGAGGTACGTTTGAACAAGTTTCTGGGTAGCTACCGGTGACTCCAGCTTAACTTGAGGGATTCGATCAGTGGGTGTTGAAGTTTTGAGCAGGGGAATTTTCCTTCTGGGTGTTTTTTCCACTTCAGAATGTGGTTGTAAAGTGGAATCACCGAAGGCTGTATCATAACCAGCTTCAAATTGCTCAGAATCATCGAATGTCTCCTGCTCCTCTTTTTTAATTTCCGGAATTGTCTTCACTACCGACTGAGTAACCAACTTCTCGAGAGGCTTCACTACTACTGGCTTGAGCACTTCACTCATGGCTTTCTCAGTACTCTTTCTACCGAATTTCATCAGTTTGTGCTTGCGACGAATGGCGCTCGTCGCTTGAGCAATATGCCACAAGATATTCGTCTCCTTCCTGAATTTGTCGCTCTTTATGTTGACACTCGTAAGTTCACCTAACAACTGCTCTCAATCCCTATGAATAGCCCTTTTTTATTTTCTCATAAAACAGTCGAAACCTCTTCGGTAGCGGCCTTCGTTCAATTCGCTGTCTTTATCAATGACAACGAAACTGTATTTGCTTTCGCTCCAACACTTGGCATATGAATCTTTGAACTCTTCAAAGAACATATGAGTATTCACATGATCTTGATAAATATGTTTCAGATTCATATCATCTTGACGGATGCGTATTAGAAGATTGGTATTGTCTCGCACAACATGTTTAGGAACATGAGCGTATGTTTGACAGAGATAGAAAATATCCACATCTCTATCTCGCCCCATACAGAAAAATTCTCGTACATTATCCTGCTTTTCGCATGCCACATCATCAAAAATTATGATGGAATTTGGACGAGCGTCCTCAGGCCTGATGACTTCTTCATGTTCACTGTAGGGAAAATAACCTACACCTTTGATGGGAGTGCTACGTCAGAATGACGTACAAAATTATTATTATTATTATTAATTATTAATAATGGAATGAAACATTCCAGCATATCAAATTTAATATAAGAAGGAATTCACGTTGGTCGTCTTACAAGTCGAATATTGGATGGTCTTAAATTCGATCATACAGCTATGATCAAATTCGAGTCATTCTTCAATTGCGTGATCGATCGACACTAGAAATTGCGACGCAATCAATTACAGTAGTTATTTTTCTTTAATTAAATAGGAATTGAAAATGTTCATCTGAAAGAGAAAATTTTACATGTCAAAAGAACATTTAAATCGAGATTTTTGGATTACAAGAAAACCCGAAAATCTCAATAAAACTTTTGAAATAATATTTTAAACATAAGAATGTAGACGATTGTCATCAGGGGCCTTATCTCAAGGGTTTCGGGTATCCGTACCAGGCATCGGCTGCCTCACGGCACGTCGCCATCATTTCCCCTTTCGACGCAAAAATTTCTCAATACCCTCCCCTCTTCCCCTTGTTGCCATGCGTAACTGCCCGTCAACTTACGTACCCCTCTCCCATCGAACTCGGACAATACGTTCGTTGTTCTTCTTCTTCTTTCCCCACCTCCTGTCTAAACCACGAAGCACACGCCGGCGAGCTGTGATTTCCCCTCATCAAAAACCACCATGCGACATCACATCAATTTCCCCACCCTCCAATAATAATTAAAAATGCGTCATAATATTGACACAAACGCAACTGATCCCGACACCTAAAGGTTAACGCTCAGGGCGTTAACAGGCCAGTTCCGGCGTCTTCATCAACAGAAACAGATCAAGAATTATTCAGTGCACTCCAAGGATTAATCAGTGGTTTCATCAATATATTATTTGTGCAACTTATTCAAGGGATTTTTCTTCTGAAAATCATATTGTTTAATTGTGGATCCAAATAAAGTGGAATTCATTTTCAAGTGATTTTCCTTCTGAAAATCATAACAATCCATTGTGATTTATGATGAAAAATAAAATATTTCCCTTGTTATTTTCCTTCAGAAAATCATAAAAATCGATTAATAATTTTTATTGAAATATTAAATTTAACTTTCAAGTGATATTTCCTTCAAAAGAAAATCATAAAAATCGATTAATAATTTTTATTGAAATATTAAATTTAACTTTCAAGTGATATTTCCTTCAAAAGAAAATCATAAAAATTGTAAAATTTTGAGTGAAATTGCATTAAGTAAAAGGTGATTTTCCTTCTGAAAATCATAACAATTGAACTCTTGGAAAATTTAATTTAATTGATTTTCACTCAGCTTTTTACTAGAATAGTTCAATTAATTGATCTCTAATATTCCCATGGAATATGAAATCAATTGGTTTTATTGTTCAAACCATTGCCATTTTTTTATTTTCGAAATTTTAATTCACTTGTGTTTTCGCAGTTAAAAATAATTGATCTGAGTCGGAATTGGTCTCATAATTAATCTTCAGTTAATACCACATCACCATTGGCATTTACATCACAGTTGGTTTTACATCACCATTGGTTTCTACATAACAGCGTGATTAGAATCTTCAGTTGATTCCAGAGCTTCATTCCAGCTAGCGGTTCCCTCCAAACCCTCCCTTGTTTCTAAAAAAAAAATATACCCGAGACCCAAAAAGCAGTCTGTGTAAGTCAAATGAAAATCAAAATTTTATTCAATTTTCAGATAACCAGTTCTAAATTCAAGACAAATCGAGGTTTTGGTATAAAATATTATTTCCGCTGAAAAAGAAAAGAGTAAAATTTGGAAAATTCATAAAAAATTATTTTCCTAAGTTTTGATGCAGAAAAAAATGAGAATTTTTTTATCAAAGAATAAATTTCCTCTGAATTTCCAAAAAGAAGAGGAATCTCCTCAAAATTGATTTGACTGAGATTTAAAATGAGAACAAGTAGAATCTTTGTTAGATTGAATTGAGAAGAGAAGAAATTAGAATCTTTATTAAGTTGATTTTCCATTCGATTTGAAATAAAATACCACTAGAATCTTTGATAAATTGACTTCTCTCCGATTCGAAATAAGAAGATAACAGAATTTTATTGGAAAATAAATTTTCTCTGAATGAAAAGAGAATTAGAATTTTTTTTATGGGAAAAATAGATTTTTTCTGAACTAAAGAGAAATGGAATTAAAATAATAATTATTTCTCTCTGAATTTCAATTATATCGTGAGCTAATCACTTTGAATTATTGAGTATAAATGAGATTAAGATCACAAATAGAAAATATAACATTTATTCTCCAAATCTCAAAAGAAGAAATGTTCAATTATAATAAAAATAAGAATAAGTTGGAGATAATTTTGTGAATGAACTGATCAATTGATTCTAAACAATTCCTTATGTTTTATGATCTCCAAAGATCTTCAACTTGAATAGTTATGAAAATAATCTATCTTTTTGATCCCAAATTCAACTGTCGAATCAATATACCATCAAACATTCGTGTTATTATTTTCAAGTCTGCTCCAGACTGTTCAACCATCATAATTTTTGATTAATTTATCTAAAGAATAATCATAATTTTTATTCAATGATTAGAAATTTTAATTTACTTGCAACTCTTGAAACTAGAATCTTCCCTGTTTATTCTCGATGATTAGATAATCTGACATAAAAATCAGAGAACAAATGAAAGAATATCAAATTTTAATTAATTAATTGTTTGAAAATTAAAAATTTACAAATCAATGAATGATGATTTTTCATTTAAAAAATAAATGAATTATTGAACAGTTAATCGATCAATTCACATGAGAAATCAATTGTATCATTTTATTATTGATTGTTATGTATCAAATAATTGGGAAAGATCATTAAAGGATAACGTTACATATTCTTAAAAATTTGTTTACAACATTAATTTCTAGAATAATTAAAAGTCACCTCACCATCCTAAGCTATTACCGCAAGGTAGGCTTAAAAAGGTAAACTTAACTTCATGTTTTTCTCATTTATCAAAAAGGTAAGTTTGAAAATTCATGACGTAACCGGAGTGAGGAGACGTTTGAGCAACTGATACTTGTGCTGATTCAGAGATTTTGAATACACATAGATATTCTCAAATCTCAAACTATTGGGATGGACTACGAGAGCCAATAGAGCATTGGTTTTTCCACAATTGGAGGGTCCACAAATGACTGCATGCACGCTATTGGGTAACAGCGGTCCATGACGGCGCTTCTCCATCTTCTTCTTGTGTGTCAGTTCGTCGAAATTTATTATCGGTAGCTTCTCCTTCTGCTCCTTGAACTCCATGATGAACGACTAATCGAGATATGCTAAATACCCATTATTTATAGAATTCTGTGCCATTCACTCGATGACCGTCATTGTTGTATCATCATCACAGTTTTTAGTACATATCCAAGTACAATGAGTACCAAAAAAAATCCCTCTATTATAAAGAAAACTTGTTAAAATGATCAGCCGTACAGATCTTTTGTTTATGTAAGTATTTTTTTTTTTCAAAAAATCCAAATATTCATGATATTTGAATTCTTCAGAGCCGACTCTGGAAAATTTTTTTGCAGTGCACGATATGTCAAATACTGTGACAGCGAGTGACCCTTTGAGTATCTTAAGGAGATCCACACCCCTCGATGTTCGAATGACGACTGACATGAAAACCTATAAATACAGGATAGTTATTCCCTCACATATCAGTCTTTGCTGAGCCATGAAAGCCAGCAAACATAGAAAAAAAAGGAGAAGAGGGTGTCGGGGCAAAGGTTTGTTCAATCGCCTCATCAGACACCTGCCGGTAGAGCTGCATATACCAGGCTACCAGTACTGTGGTCCTGGAACAAAACTCCAAAAAAGGCTGAAGAGTGGTGACCCGGGTGTCAATCCTCTAGAAACTGCCTGCAAGGAACACGATATTGCCTACTCAAAAAATCGAGATAACCTCACTGCACGTCACGCGACAGATAAAATTCTTGAGGACAGTGCTTGGCAACGAGTTTTATCGAGAGACGCCGGTCTCGCTGAAAAAGCGGCTGCTTGGGGTGTGGCCAATGTCATGAAAGCCAAAACATCCCTCGGTATGAGGGTCTCAAAACGGAGTCGCAACACCATTCTCCCCAAGAAGAGGAAAGGAGGAAAAAAACGACGTACAGGTGGTGGTATTGGAAAAAAAAAGTAAGCTTGAAACAAATTCTTCAAGCTGCCAAGACATCTATGCGTACAGGAACGGATGCCATCAAAACAACATTGAAAGGTGCACGTGATGCCGTTAAAGTAATTGGTAGCAGGAAGCAAGTGCGATTGCCGCGCATTCTACCGGTGCCCTCGAAAATCGGGGGCGTACTAGCCTTTCTCATCCCTCTCTTTGCGGGATTGAGTGCTACAGGCGAACTGGCCGGCGGCGCAGCAGGCATCATAA